AGTTTTACTTTTGTGCCTTCCCGTCGCTTCCCTCTCCAATCCTATCTTAAAGACAATGAGGTGAAAACGACGATGTCTTTGCTGAAGAAAGCAATTTCTACTTCAGAGAAAGCTATCTTGGCAGGTGCAAAGCAACCTTTTTAGGTACTTTCAAGCTATGAACGTATTCCTCCAGTTTATAACCATAAACGTCTACATTTTTGGGTTGAGTAAAGTCATGTATGGACTATATTTTTGGACATTCAGACAAAACAGAAGCTCGAGACAATGAAGTTACTGCTTTTTGTGGACCTGCACATGTATGATGCTGCATACGGTTTAAAAAAATACAAGCTGTTAAAAAAGTAGATACTCATCTGAGACAGATCATGGTCTCTTGTATGAGACAATTCGGCGACTTAAAATAACAGGTTAACGGCTGAATTTTACCAGTTTATGGTTACTCTCATTCTGGCCCCCCTAACCCTTTTCCATAAAACGGTAAGACCTCTTGTAGTTGGTGATTTGCCTACCGTCTGAGTTGCGTTGACTTGGTATTTCGTCAGCAGACGTTCCACAAGCGCCTGTTGATTTCGAACTCTGGGTTCCTTTCCTTTCAGTTGCTGCTTGTCCTTGCAATTTTCCCTCCTTGGGTCGAGATGTTTCTCCAGAATCTAAACATGTGAAACAAAGTCCAATTTAGTAACTAAAAGGAAGAAGATGCTATAAGACGTGTAGCAAATCAATCAGAAAAGTTCAAATTAGGAAAGGAAACAAAACTAAAAAAGAGGAAACTAGAGGAAAAAATCGACCTGTCAAAATTTTGCAACCGTGTGGCTAGATGTTTAAGGGTCTGTTTACAAGGAGGGAGGGTTACCCTAGCAAGCGGGTTAGCCCTAGCTGGAGGGCAAAAGATAGCCCGGGCTTACCAGCAAAATTTCACAGGTAGGGTAACCCCACAACCCGGGACAACTTAATGCGCGGTTACACTCAAAGGGTCTGGAAACAATGCAAGTTAATCCGGGTAGGCGGGTTAACCCTACCTGGAGTGTCTACAAGGGAAAAAGTTAACCCGCCTGAAAGGGTAACCCTAGCACGCAGATAGGGTAACCCGTCTACCCGGGTAACCCTAGCTGCCTTGTAAACAGGACGAAGAGAAAAAGAGGAAATGTGTGAGTGCTAGGGTAACCTGCTTGCCAGGGTGACACGCTTGCTGGGGTAACCCTCTCTCCTTGTAAACAGGCCCTAAGAAAGTGTCAGAAACTATTCCAAATTCGTGATCTTGCTGTGGTTGACAGCTCCTTAAGGAGGTTAATTCAAGCCATGTTCACAGAAAATTTTATGCCTTAACGATTATTACATGGATGCGAAAGGTCTTGTACCTACAATCATGACCAAAAGTCTTCGGACAAATTTGCACTTGTTGTACTGTTTCACTCACGCCAAACAAACAGTGGCGTGCAAATGCAACTACACCTGCCCAACCCCTTCCCCCACCCCA